AGGAGGAGGAGGAGGAGGAGGAAGAGGAGGAGGAGGAGGAGGAGAAGGAGGGGGAGGAGGAGGAGAAGCAGGAGGAGGAGGAAGAGGAGGAGGAGGACGAGGAGGAGGAAGAGGAGGAGGCGGAGGAGGTGGAGGAGGAGCAGCAGCACCAACACGATGATGATGATGCTGATTTTGATGATGATTTTGATGATGCTGATGACGATGATGATGATGCTGATGATGATGCTGATGATGATGATGATGATGATGATGATGATGCTGATGGGCATGATGATGATGATGCTGGTGATGGTGATGGTGATGGTGATGGTGCGGATGATGATGACGGGAGGATGAGGATGAAGATGCTGATGATGATGCCGATGATGAAGATGATGATGCTGCTGCTGATGATGATGATGAAATGATTGAAATGATGAAATGATGAAATGTGAAGTGTATGAATAATGAATGATGGATGTGATTGATGATGATGATGATGATGATGATGATGATGATGATGATGATGATGATGATGATGATGCTGCTGATGCTGATGATGATGATGATGATGATGATGATGCTGCTGCTGCTGATGATGATGATGATGATGATGATGATGATGATGATGATGATGATGATGGTGCTGCTGCTGATGATGATGATGACGATGATGATTAGGAGGAGGAGGAGGAGGAGGAGGAGGAGGAGGAGGAGGCGGATGAGGAGGACGAGGAGGAGGAGGAGGAGGAGGAGGAGGAGGAGGAGTGGGAGAATCCCTCTCCTCCCTCCTTCTCCTTCCCCTCCTGCCCTTCCGCCTCCCCCCGCTTCCCTTCCTCGTTTTACCTGCCAGATGGAGAATGCCAGCGAGGAGTTATGGGGGCACGCTGGCGGCAGGTCCTCCACCGACGCAGCGTACGACCTCTGTCTCGATAAGGAAGCGGCCCAGCTCGTGGGCGACCACTCGCTGGTCGTGTTGCTGGGCATGCTGAAGTGCTGCGAGACGGGAATACACTCAGCCATGTTCGACGAGTGCAGGGCGAACAGGTTCCCGATGAGACTTGCTTGCGTGCTGGTGCTGCTGTAAGAGCAGGTGCGCACCATCTCCGCGCACATCTCGTCGTATTCGGAGGCTAAGCAGGTGTGCCCCGGGGAGCCTAGCATGTTGCACCCACGCGATCACTTTGCTGCTGGTCTTGCTCACCCGCAGCATCCGGCTCTCGACCACAGTGGCCACGGATATCAAGCCCCGCGACTTTGTGGACGACGTGGCCTTCAGGGTCGGCTCGGGCCCCGGTGGCTCGCGCCAGGTCGCGGCCACAAAGGTTTCTGCGAATTGGTCAGGCCACTGGGCTTGATATTGCAGGTGGTGAAGTCGGGGCACCTCGCTATGACAAGGAAGGCGGCGTACCACTTCAAAGTTTTCGCCAAGATGTTGAAGATAATGGAAAAACCGCACGTGCGCTACGTCGGCCACGACCTGGCAGCGGATGCGGCGGTGCGAGTTGCGCAGAAGACCCCGTTGAAGCAGATGCATGACAGGAAGGGCCGCCTTCGGACGTTGCAGCGTGGCGCGGGCAAGGCACGCGTGGCTATTAGTGTGGACGTCAAGGGTGCGACCGTCTGTGGATCACGGCGCGCGGCATCAACGACAGTGATTCACGCCAGCTGCAGCGTATTGCTGGAAGTTGACGACGCTTCAGCGGCGTTTGGTCCTTGAATTTCTACCTTGTGGTTCAGAAGCAGTGGGATTTCGACCCTATCTACCAGGCCACGCGCAACATCCTATAACAATGTGCGGGATCCACGTGGTTCACCAGCGCGCCCGCAGCGAACGCGGATGGTGTTGAAGAGCCGCGTGGAGCATTTGCGAGGGGTTTTCGCTTGGGCGTCAGCGCGTGGACCGTTGTCGGCGCGTTGGCTTCCTCTCTGCGGCGGACGGGCTGGAACGTGCTCAGGTCGACGGTGGTTTCCGACGGCCTCGGGGGCCAACCCAGCCTGCCGCGCATTCGGCAAGCGAGGTCCAGCACTGGGCGGTCCGCAGCTTGGAGCGCTGGCAGAGTCGCCGCATCCTGAGCCAGTTGCAGGTGCACCTCCGCGTGGAGCTGATGGCCGTAGACACATGTGGATGAGGGCGCGGAGGCACGGCCATCGTCAACCGCTGTTTGCTGGCTTTGGGGGGGGGGCGCTGGCCAAGCTTCAGTCTGGGGGCACGTGCGCGCCTGCGGGCCGTAGAGAAACTGGCTGCGTGGATAATTCGATCTGCGAGGTCGAAGGTCATAGGAACGCCGATTCGAAACGCGATTTTTTTGGCATAATGCATGAGGCGCAAGAGGGCGATGAACAGGACCCGCGCCCCGAGGGCGCTGTGGAGGGATAGAAAGGCATTTACTGCCAGGGCCAGCGCCGGCGCGGATCCGGACTTCTCGCCCACGGACGCCATGCATGCCGCGCCGCTGGGGCCAGCCTCTCGGCCAGACGAGCCCAGCCAGCTGCCAGTCAATGCGCGGGGTGCGACAGTGCTACTGTTGCCCAGTAAATTGTACGGTGGCGGTCCCTGTGCCGATCATGATTTTCCCGAGGATCGCCGTTGCGGGTGGGCAGCGGTGGCTCTCTCGTCAGATTCGATCCCGTGCGAAGCTCTCTCCGGGTCTCTGGCGGGGCCCGTCCAAACTGCGCCCGACGGCCTTGGGGGCCGTCGAAATCTCGCCCCGACCCTCGGAGCTTTTCGCGGGCCATTCCGCCCCGGCGAAGGAGGGGGGTGGCTCGGGCGCCGCGCGAGGGCGACGGGTCCGCATGCTTCGATCTGGCGCAAGCTTCGGAATGTGCATCGCCGCGATCTCGACTGCCTGCCCCGCTTCGTTTGGGCGAAGGCTGATCGCTCGGTTGACGAGGGCGTCGCCGTTGCGGTCGAGATGGCGGGCGCGGTCGATAATGTATCCGGCGACTGCCAGGCCGATTGCCGCGCGAAGATGGGCGCGTCGGAGGCGCCCGGGCCCGACTCGGCGACGTGCGAATTTCGGTTTCAGTCCGAGCATGTTCGCTCGATCATGAGATGCTTGGCTTTGGCGGAGAGGGCCTCCGAGCTTTCGACCCCCAGCGGCCGCCGCCCCCCGCCGCCTGCTGAGAGACAGCGGCGAGAGAGGAATCCCGCCGCCCAAGCGTTTCTCGGCTTCCCTGAGGGGGGGCGTAGGTTGCAGAAGGCGCTGGAGGCAAGCCCCTCCCCCGCTCTCCTTGACGTTCCTCTCTCCCCGCCCGCGCGATGCTCGAGCGTTCGGCCGTGGGCGCGACGTGCAAGAGATCGAGCGCGCGCTGGTTTGCGCGCGATGCGATGCTCGCACTGCGCGGCCGCGCTGACTGGGCGCAAGGGTGGCGGGGCAGGGTCGGCCAGTGGGATTCGGGGGGGGGGTGCGCGGGATGCCGGGCAGGCGAGGTCCGGATTGCACCCCAAGTCAGGGGGGGGCGACTGTCGCCGATGCTCCTCTCGGACGCCGCGCCCGAGCTCGGGCGGGGGTCGGCCGTGCCCGAGCTCGGACAGAGGTCGGCCGAGCTTGGGGCGGCGGCCTCGCCCTTCTAGGCGCGTTCGCACTGCGTGCGCGGCGCGCCGTCGAGCGCGCGCGATGTCGCGCGTCTTTGTTTGCGCGGCCCAGTCGGGGCTCCTCTGCGCCCTCGGCGTTGCACCGCTGCTTCCGATTATTTCTCTTTCTCTCAGTCTCCCTCTGCCCCGTGGCCATCTGGGCTCAAGTCCCAAACGCGCGCCCCAGGCGCCCGGGGATCGCCCGCGGCCGATGGGGCGGGCCAAGGCCCCGCGCTTTCAGCTTTCAGCGAGCTCGTGGTGGGACCGTCAGTCAGTGAACTCCTGCGCGGTCGGCCGCAGCAGTTCGGGTTGTGGCTCGCGAAGGGCAATTCATGCGCGGCGGCGTTGCGCGCGGGCTCACAGCCCCGATCTAGCGGCGCCGCGCGTTCCACACCCACGCTTCGCTACGGCTGTCGACGATTGCCCCGCTCCTCCGCGACGCGAGGGGGGGCGCGGCCAGCGCCCAGCTGCAACCGGAAATCGCAAGGAAGCCGAGCTGGAACAGCACATGGTCGAGTTACCAACGCAGTTCTCGAAGTTCATGGCCCAACCTTCATCAGCCGCGTCTCCGCAGGCCGCTGCGGGGCGAGGTGGGGGGTCTGGAGGTGGCGATGAGCAGCCCCCAGACCCCCATGCAAGTATAAGCGCCTGAGTTGGGGGTGGCAGGTGTCGGGGCCTCCGCGGGCCAGGGCGTCGACTCAACTTCTCGGAGCGGCTATGTTCAGAACGCGCAGCGCGCGGGGCCTCGGTTCGACGCGGGCGCCGATCTCGGGCCCGCCCGCTTTTGCGTCGACGCCAGGTGGCGGGGGGCCCGATCGCGGGGGCCCGGGGCAGCGGGGCACTGCCGGGCGGGCCCTTAAGCCGACGCGAGAGTTCTGGCGCGCCGCGCGGCCCGGAGCAGATTTCCCCTGCGCGGAGACGGGCTGCCATGGGCGAGGAAGGCGTCGCGACGGGCCGCGCCGGCGTCGCGGCAGAGCAGCTCTACCGGGAGGTCGGCGAGCTCGCCGCCGCAGCCGTCGCCAGACGCGACCTCCCTCGGGGGGGCGCGGGCGCCGCCGAGGGGCGGCAAACGTTGGCCGTGGTTTTCAATTTCACCGCGGATGACCTCCATCCAGCTCCGGCCACCCCGGCGCGAGCGGGCCGAGCGCGCGGCGAGGCCAGCTTTTGCGGGAGTTCGAGCCGGCGCCAGCGGAAGCAGACCTCATCGCGGGCGAAGTTTGGCGGGCCAGTCAGCAGCCCAGACGCCGAACGTCCCCGACGGCGCTGGCCACCGCGTCGTCGCCGACCTCGGCGTCTTCGGCTTGGGCGGGAGCATGAACAGAGAAGACGTCGCCCCTCGGGACTTCGCCTTCGCCCCTGTTTCGGCGGCGTCGGCCTCCGCCGCGCCGGCCCTTCTTCGCGGCCGCTCCCCGGGGGCCCTTGCCCCGGCGCCGGCGGCGTCGGGCGTCGGGCGTCGCCGCCTCGTCCGGCGGCGGCGCTTGGGCGCGGGGGCGCCGCCGCCGCCCGCATGTCAGTATTATCCCAACCAGCTGGGGCCAATCCCAACCAGCTGGCATTTGTCAAAATTGCGCGAAAAGCCAAATTGGCGCTAATTTCAACTGGCCAAGCAACCTCAATTCATGATGCACATTGTGAGGCGATGGCAGTGCATCCTGCGAATGCGTGCGCGCGCGTTCCAGAAGCTAACGCAGATGCCCAGGTTGGAATTCGCGCGAACATTGCACTGCCTGGGGCGATGCGGCATCCGAGATGTCGATTTGGATGGCGGCGTAAAGTATAGGCGCTGAATCTTCTACATCAGGGACATTTCAGGGTCCCCGAACGACCTGGGCAAGGGTTGCCCGGGGATTTTTCAGCGCGCTCGGGTTTCCGGGCGCGGCTGTTTCAAGGGCGCATTGGCCAAGGGTCGGGGCGCTCAAAGGTTGAAGATGGTTGAAGAGCTCGCGGCTAGAAGGGCTGAACAGCCTGGGAGGTCTTAGGAGTTCACGGGCATCGGGCCCCATGGTAAAACGGCTCAAGGGCCGGAGGGCTTGGGGGGCGCCCCAGGGCCGCGCTCGAAGGGCTCGAGGGGCTCGAGGGCTAGAGGGTTCAAGGGCTGAAGGGTTCAACGGCCAAGGGCTGAAGTGTCTGGGGGCTCAATGGCTTCAACGGCTCAGTGATTCATCGGTCTGAGGTCCTAAGGCTCGAGGGTTCAACGTTTCCCGGGCGGGCTGTTCCGATGTTCTAAGGGATTGCGGGCTCGAGCGTTCATGCGACGGCGCCGCCTGCCGAGGCCCTCGACGACCGCCCGCGGGCGCGGGGGCCACGGGGCGCGGCCTGAGAGGGGGGGGCGAGGAGGGCTCGAGCCGAGGGCTCGAGCATAAAACATGGCCCCGAGCCAACACACGCGTCAGCCAGAACGGCTGCGGAGAGGTGGCCAGCTAGGAGAAGTAGCGGGGAGAGAGGCGAACGAGCGCCGGCGCGCGCCCGGCGCGGTGGGCCGGGAGAGGGATTTCGAAGGGAACCTCGACTGGGCCGCGCCCTTGCCCAGGTTTTTTTGAGAGGCGTCTCTAAGAGACGCCTCCCAGAGACGCGTGTAAGACACCTCCCAAAGCCGCCTGTACGACGCATTTCAGAGACGCTTGTCAGACGCCTCGCAGAGACGCTTTCGAGACGCATCCCAGGGGCGCCTGTGAGATGCCTCGCAGAAGCGCCCGTAAGACGCCAGTGGGGCTTTTCATGCAGGTTGGTTGGAATTCATATTCAAGCGGTTGGAATTCGTACTAGAATGGTTGAATCAGGTTTAATAGCGTCGGACATATTTTTAGTAGGTTGAACTGCGTCACATTTCCTTGACCACCCGCCCGTTTTTTTGGCAGATATTAGGTTCAAACGCATGGCCAGCCCGGGGGCCATAGGGCCGCCGCGTATCCTTGTCCCGCTCACTTGGGTACGCTGTGGCGGCCCATTGCAGCAGACGCCGCCCCGCCCCGGCCTTCGGCCCCGCCTCCGGAGCGGCGAGTTCCATGGCGAGTTCTACGGTTCCGCCGCGCGGAAACGGCTGGCCACAACATGCGGA